TTCTACACCTTTAAATTCTCGCATTTCATTTCTGTCTTTATTTTTATTTCAAGTAGTTTCTTTTTTCCAGTCAATATGTGAATTCCCCCTACTTAATTTAATGAAGAGAAGTTATTAGAAATCCTGTGTTCTCAACATCTGTCTATTGTCCTACCCTTTGTATGTAGTCTTGATGCTAGAGCCTGCTAGTGCGCAGTTCTTTTTTCCTGTTGATGATGGAGTATTTTAATGAGGGTTAGCTATCTCTTGTTTTTCCTCTGGTTCATGTTTGCCTACCCATGCCCTAGCATCCCTCTAGCAGTACTAGCCTCAGGTAGCCCTTACCCTAGGAAGGAATTTCAATGGCTATCTATCCAATGTCAACCATTATCTTTGTATAGTTAGCACAGACCTCTTCCTTTAAGATCCCCTTATTTGTTATCAATTGCCTCATACCCCTGTACGCATACACTTAGTGACCATTCCTCTCAATCTCATATTAGTCGCAAATTAAGTTTGGAGGTGTGTTAGAGCATTACATTCTAGATGTAATGTTTGCCTACTCATGCCCTAGCATCCCTCTAGTAGTATTTGCCTCAGGTAGCCCTTACCCTAGGGAGGAATTTCAATGGCTATTTATCCAATGTCAACCCTTATCTTTGTATAGTTAGCACGGACCTCTTTTTTTAAGATCCCCTTATTTGTTATCAATCACCTCATACCCATGTACGCATACACTTAGTGACCATTCCTCTCGATGTCATAGAGGTGTGTTAGAGCATTACATTCTAGATGTCCTTAGCTGCATTGAGGACAATGCAACTGTTTAAGTTTGGGGAAGTGAACTTTCAGTTCTAATACCTGTATTAGTATTTGTATACATTCATGAATCTTTCTAATCCTGTAATTCAGCCCTTAAAAAAAGGTTAAAGAAACGAGGGGCTAGTAACCCACATCTAGAGCATAAAGATGCTGCAGGATTAGGAAGGGCTAGTAGCCCATGGTTAAAGAAGCCCAAGTTGCTAGTGCAAAGTTTAAAGGTTAAGGCTAGTTAAGGGGGCTTGAGAAAGAAATCTCTAGGAGAAGTAAACTTGAGGTTGGGAAGTAGAAGGAAGCTAGACTTGGGCTGAAATCAGCGTCTTCTAGAGCATGAACAAACCTAGGTTGCTTTCATTTCTTTGCTCCAGCTGAAGTACTTAGCAGAGTATGTAAGTTCTAGCATTTTTTATCAAAATGAAAGGTTGAGGCATATGGCTGGATGTTTGAAGTGCAGGTTTCTAACATTCTTCTTTTGTGAATAGAAGTAACATTCATGCTCTTGCTTGGGGACAAGCAAGATTTTAAGTTTAGAGGTGTGATAACTCTCCAAAAGAGAGTTATTCTAGTGTATATTTAGGTGTTTTTATGCAAAGAATTGTCAAAGTGTGTCCATTTCAGCTCTTAAATTTCATAGATAATATTAGAAAGTGGAATTCGAGCTAGAAGCCCTAGGTCTTGAATGCTTTGGCTAAAAATTGCACTAAATGCTCTGATTTCTAAAATAATTGCATAGGTTTGGAAGTAGGAGATAAGGCATGAAGAGAAGGAGATAAGGCATGAAGAGAATGTTAGGACCAGAGACGAGTGAACGAAGCATCTTCAAGACAGAGCAGACGAAAGCTGGAGCGATGCACAGGGGAGCATGAGAGTACCGCGTAGTAACAGGCCACACACTGGAATTTACCATGTCCGTACAAACTTCAGCTGGGTGCCATAAGAATGGGACCCGATACAAAAGGGACATCTTGCCCTAACCGGCACACACAGATCCCAAGAGAGACACATTTTTTAGAGCTGAAACGACAAGGAGGAGTAATCTCTCCATTTTCAGGGGAGAAAGCTGACGATAGAGGGGGGATATTCGACTGCTGCATCAAGCTGTCATATTCTTTTCTCGATTTTTTGTTATTTCCTTGAAATTGGTTGTTTTCTTCCTCTACCCATTGTATTTTCTTATTTCTTCATGAGCTAAACCCCATTTTGGAGAGATTTACATGTTGTAACTGATGAACAACTGAACCTCCAGTTGCTTCATTTGTTTTTAAATAGAGTTGTTTCTATTCTTAAATCCTACCTAACATTGTTAGCCACTCTGTTCTGTATGCTAGCTTCTGTATTGAACCGGGAGGGCTTACGAATTGCTTGCTCTATTTGTGATTAGTACTTTTTTATAGTAATTTGTGGATGCTCAGGAATGGGTTCCCTAATCATGCTTAGAACTTGTTTGTATTGCTTGGAAACTTAGCAACGGGAGTTGTGGGTATCTATGTTTGGGTGTCTTTGAAGGAAACCATGTCGAGTTGAGCACCAATGAATGTCTGTCTTGCTAGAGGTTAGGTTCAGAAGTTAGTGAAAGCATATTAAATCTCCCCCACTTTTTCATATCTATTAACCCCCCATTTTCGTTGTTTTGTGTTGTAACCTCTTCATGTTATCATCTTTTCGAAGTGTGTCTACTATTGAGATCATTTACTACTTTGTTTATTATATTTTGTTTAGTTACAACACAAACACCGATATTTTATTATTTTTAAATTTTGGTATCTGCAAATATAGTTTATAATATTATCCAAAGTCCCTGTGGATTCGACCTCGTTTCGTGCTACAATCGAAAATTTTATGTATACTTGCACGTGTTGTCAACAA